TCACTTTCAGACTGAAGAAGTTCTTAACATTCTTCAATTTTATCATCACTGGCTTTGGTGGTTGGTGCTTAAATTTGGACAGTGGCATTAACTGGTCTTCCATGTATATTATTCTATCTCAGATGACACTAAACTTCAACACAGATGTTGAAATGTTCTTTATGACAGTTAATATGATATCACACCTCTTCAATTTATTATTTCCAGCACAATAAACCATATGATCGTTCATTTCAAAATGGCCAATACCAGTCCACTTCAGCTCACTAAATGCTTAGGATATCAATCTTTATGAATGCTGTTACGTTTTTCATAACTTCTAATTTTCCTAGATTCATATTTCATACATTCCAAGTTCCAATTCATGGATGTTTGTAGCTGCTGCTTCTCATTTTGAGTGGTGCCCCAACAGCAGATGAAGGTCCTGAAAGTTCTACTCTTTTCACATCATTATGATCAACTCTACTTTGATAAGGTAATTTTTCACCAATCGTACGTATTTCGAGTGCCTTCCAACCTGAGGGGCTCATCTTCCGACACTGTGTCACACAATGTTCCACTGCTATGCAGGAAGTTTTCATTAGCTAACTGTTCTGAAGTGGTCTGCTTCTCATTTTTCCTATTCAGTTTTCTTATTCTGGAAGCTCCATTGTTACAATGTCCACCATAGGAAACCCTGCTGGTACTTAAAATACCAGTGGCAGAGTGTCCAGCATCACAGTAACACACAAGCCACCATAGTACAGCAGACTGCCAGATGAGTAGTGAGTGGTCTGTCCAACTAGAGGAAACCCTATACAGGGTCACTAAAGGTCAGAACTGACTTGACAGCACTTAACAATGACGACAACATAGGAGGGGTGGGAGCTGAGGCTAAGGAACTGGCCTACTCCACAGATCCTACTGCTAGGCATTCAAAGTATAATGTCAGATGCAGATACACAGAATGTGGTGGGTGGGCAAGAAAGCAGATATCTCTGAGCAAAGAAGCTACCTGCAGTTCCAGTGGCTACAAACCGGAAACCCTATACAGGCTCACCATGAGTCAGAACCCCCTCAACAGCACTTAACAATGGAGTCCTGATTTGGCGCTGTAGAATAAGCATTTGACCATAAGGTTGGTTTGAACCGCACGGTTGGCGGTTCAAACTCACCAGCTGCTCCTCGGAAACTCTATACAGGGTTGTATGAGTCAGAACCAATTCAATGGCACTTAACAACAACAACACAGTTGTCATCAGTAAGAAGTGGTCATCCAACTGGGGCTACGATAGAATCCTGAAGCTAAATGACTCACCGCGTAACTGGGATCAGTCGAGACAGACTGGGTACCCTGCCTGGGACACTGAGGCTACTTTGTGATCCGAATCAGATCAGATCACGGTGAAAGGGTCTCTCAGGTGTATTTCTGGGGCCAGAGGGGCTGAGCCTGGGATGGGCACCTTTAAAGCCAGCAGTAGATTGCTGTGGGCAGAGAGCCTAATGTGCGGGGGATTAAAAAAAACTATGGTTTCTCTCAGTCATCCAACATTGTTTATGGGAGAGTGATGACTTAGAGAACTCAGATGTTATATAAATCTTTAAGTGGATCCAGATTCCAGAGGGTCGGGTGGTGGTCCTGAGAACAGCACCTGAGTTACGTGGAAGCTGCCGGTCCAGGAGCCATGTCTGAGCAGCCAGGGATGTGGGACAACCTGGGCGGGAAAGGAGGGGCTCCTAAGAAAATAGAATGGTGAAAAAAAGAAGAAAAAATGTAGGAAACTAATATTTGTGCACATTATAGCAAGGTCTAGTACACATCTGTAAAAATGTTATTATCCAAGTAATAGCTCTGAGCAAGAAAAAAAACAAACAAACAAACCAAAATCAATCTACCTCTAGAGCTAGAAAATGCTTTAAAATGGCCCAGTACTCTCTCAAATGATCAAATCAACCACAAAATCATCTAAATGAGAAATGCAGCCGGTGTTCAGACTCTAACCAGGAAGCCTCGAGTGGTATTTACCTCATTTAGGTTCTTTATTTTTACTTGCTTTTTCTGCCATGAATTAGAAACCTGTTTAGTGCCTATTCCATTCGCCTGTTTATTATAACTTTCAGAAATCTGGAGAGCAGAGGAAACAATTTAAAGGAAATCAAACACCGTTTCTGGGGTGTTGGCACATTCCTGTGTCCTCCCCTCAATCAAATCCTACACTAAAGGGGTGTCCTGGAATAATGGGGGCTGATGACAGGTGTGGGGAAGATGAAACTTGGATATATATACACAGAGTGAAATTATTACATGGCCATGCTGCTGGAAGACCATTTCTAAATACATAATGGAGCGAAATGTGATACTGTGAGTGGGCCTGGAAACAAATCAAAAATCAAGTTATTGTAGCTATTCTAATCCAGTCTTCAAATTCAATTTACCCTTCAACTATCTAAGAATCTCAGCTAATCCTATGATTTGGGGGTTTTAAGATTGAAGAATACAAATCTGGGGTGGGGGTGGGGATGGGGTGGGAATAGATGCTACATTTTCCAAGTTTTCCAACAGTGCTTCCTAAAGACTTCATATTGTAGTGCTCTTTGTGGGAACTTTCAGACGCATGCAAATTAACAGGATTATGTTCACAACGTAAACACGCTGCCTGCCAGGGAGCAAAGATCTCCGACAGTGTTATCAGGGGTGGAATTTGAAAGAAGACACTTTCATCAAGAGCTGCAGGTAATGTTTTCCCAATGCAGCAGTCCTTGTGTTCTTTCTGACTTACATGGAACCTGTGGAAATAATTAGGGCCCCACCTTTGCCAAGTGACTTACTAGAGCTGCTCCCTAGGTATCATTTGGGCATTAAGAGGTACATTTATTCTTTCATGTCACAAGGGTATCATTCATGAAATTACTGCTGTAGTTCACAGAATGGACCTATAACGGACGCAGATGTTAAAAGAGCAGCTCTTAACAGTATTTAACACTTACATCTAGGTAATGAGTTGTTGACTGGGCTAAGTCTGAGTGTGTGTTTCTGGTTCTTCATACCTGCAAGTTACTCCCTCTCACAGCGTACACTCAGCTGCCACTGTATGCCACATACTAGGCCATCTTCTGGAGAACAAAGGTGAATATGAGATGCACTGTGATCTTCAGACATCCCCAATAGTGTGAGGTACAGTCCCATAATGACAAAGCACACCACAGATGCTATCTTGAAAGAGTATAAAGGATCGTGTGGAAGAACAGAGGGCTTCACAGAAGTGGAGACATTTGAACGGACTGCAAATGAGTAGTCTTTCCACAGCCAGACAAAGGGAGGACGGGGGACGCAGGCAGAGAGGCAATACTGTTGTGCTGGGAGCTAGCAGCACACAAGGCTTTGGAAAAAAGGGAGCCCCCTGAGTGTAGGGGGTGTGCATGCATGTGTGAGTCAGAGCTGGAAAGGGAGGCAGCCGAACAGCATCCTACTTCCTCATCTGTTCGGGTTTGATCCCTTCAAGAGCACCAAGCCAATGGTGAGGGAACACTGCTGGCTGACTCAGACGCTGGTGGAATCGGTTCACAAACTTCTCACTATCTCCCACGTGCACCATTCTCTGCCCTATGACTGACTTTTGCAAGTCTCTGGTCCCTTTGCTGCCTCCAGTTTGGGTTCTGATTTCTTACCGTTGATTGCATCATGGGTTCCGGGCTTCTTAGTAGCTAGTGGCTGGGCACACGCTTCTGCTGGAGTGGGCCTGGGGCCTTCTGAGGGCTCCAGCGGCAAGCTCAGACAGGTCAGGAGCTAGCATGGAGCCATGCAAGCAAGGATCAGGTTTGTGCTTTGTTGTTGTTGTTGTTGTAGAGTGCCATTGAGTTGATTCCGACCCATAACAACCCTGTACAGGGTTTCCGAGGAGCAGCTGGTGAGCCTGAACCACCGACCTTTGCAGTCTGACGCATTAACCCATAGCGCCACACCAGGACTTCGCTTTAGGGGTGGAAATAAAAAGCTGCGAGTGGGAGGTCAGGATGGACAGCCAAGTACAAGGGCAAGACTATGCACAAGGAAGGCCAAGGGACAGAGAAGGAAGGCATGAAAACAACTGTGGCCTGAAGAGAAAGGGGAGTTTGGGAAGTAGAAAGAAGTAAGAATTGACAGGAAATAGATATTGGAAGGCCAGTGACAAGGAGCTAAAAAAGAGTCAGGGCTGACTTCTAAGACTCAGTCACAGAGATGTCAAATATCTTATCCTGCAGAGGATTTAGTGCCAACTCTGTGGTCCAGGGCCCACCCATTACCATGGTCTCAGTTGAGCTGCGTCTCTCAAACAGCTCTGTATCTGTGAATGTGGCAGTTTAGAAATCAGGCATGTTTTGTTACGTTAGTGAGGTTGTTCTAGAATAGGGTGGGTCCTGAACCTAATCTTTTCTAAAGAGTGGTTTATAAAAAGGACAACACTGAGAGGCACACACACTGGGAGAAGAGACATGTGAGCTCCAGCTATAAAACAAGGGAAGCCAGGGAATGCCCAGGGCTACAGACAAGGAAGAACCCCTCCTCTGCTGCTGCTGTTGTCATGTGCTGTGGAGTCGGTTCACATAGCGACCCTGTACAGGGTTTCCGAAGCTGTAAATCTTCACGGGAGCAGAAAGCCTCATCTTTCTCCCGCAGACCAGCTGGTAGTTTCGAACTGCTGACTATGAGAATAGCAGTCCGATTCTCAACCACTACGCTACCAGAACTCCTTCAAACTGTGAAACGATCAATTTCTATTCTTTCATGCCACCTACTTGAACTGCTTCTGTTATGAATGCCGTAGGAAACCAGGACAAAAGAGAGCTGACAAGAGGAAAGAAATGTTGATATCCATATTTCATAGTCAGTTTCCAAGAATTATCTATGATACCATCGACCTAATTTACATCCACAGAGGGACAAAAAAGTTCCCTCGTTACACTCCTGAGGAAGCCAACAAACTAATGTAGCGTTCAATCTTTAGCTGACACGTTCAAGAGGCAAGGTGGCTCATACAAACCTTTTCTCTTGACTTTATAAGTGCCGTCAGGTGCTTCAATACAAGCGGTCCATCTAAACTGTACGTGAAGTTAACATTATCAAAGACGATCGTGCCTTCGTGTGGCCATGCTGGTGGAGGGCGTTTCTGGCATTCCCAGGGGGCTTCTTTTTCAAGGTTTGTATACTCAATCACCCTTTCTACGGAAATCATCTGAAAGAGACGTATCATCTGTGTGTGTTAGGGATGGGTGCAGTTCAAGAGACTGTAAATCAAACTTTCTTCTAAGCACAGCTGGCTAAAGATAACTTAGCTCTTACATCTTCAGAGGAGAGAGGCAGGAGATGGATGAGGACTTTGAGGACTGACTTACTTGTTCATCACCCTATTACACTTTCACTTGTGCTAACTTCCCTTGAGATCATATTAAAATGAAAAGAATCAGAGAAATGAATGCTAATATTTTAACTTACCCACCACCTTTCTCATCTGAATAAAAAGTAAAAAGACTGCATAGTAGGAAAAAAACACACAAAACCCTCATCATCTCATCATTATAATTACCTTTTGCTATAGAAGGTCCATTTACAACAGGTACAAAGGATGGTCATCAAACCTCACTTTCTAATGGGAAGATTTCATTTTCATTGTTTTTCTCCCTTTATATAAGTTGCTGTAGTTTTGGTAGCATGTTGGCGTATGCGTTGGGCTGTCAACCGCAAGGCCAGTAGTTCAAATCTACCAGTTGCTTCATGTAAGAAAGATGAGGCCTTCTGCTCCCATAAAGACTGAGCATCTCAGAACCCCCTACAGGGTCGCTGTGAGTGGGAAATGGCTCCACAGCATGCAGCAGCAGGAGAAGGAGCTAACATTCAGAACAAAACCCTGAACTGATTCCCAGCAAACTCATTCCCAAGGCTGAAAAGCTTTAAGGGAGCAGAAAGTCTTCATCTTTCTCCTGAGGAGTGCCTAGTGGGTTTGAACTACTGACCTTTGGTTAGCAGTCCAGTGCTTAGCCTACAGTGCTACCTGAGCTCCTAATATTCAAATGAGGGGATAATTTGCACATTGACTTACCCAGCTACTTTCTTCGAGTCCATTTCAACTCATAGCAGCTCTCTGGCACAGAGCAGAACTGCCCCACAGGGTTCACACAGCTGTAAGTCTTTCTGAAAGCAGACTGCCACCTCGCTTTCCTGAGGAGACTAGTAGGCTTGAACCACAGAACTCTTGGTTGACAGCTGAGCACTTTAACCACTGAGTCACTGGGGCTCTCAACTTCTCTTTGATATTCACAACTTTCCACCTTATACTAGTAGTCTGTTCTACCAGAAAAGGACAGCAGCAAATTGAAGCAATCTAGGATAAGCACTAGACTGCTAGCCACAAGGTTTACCGCTCTAACCCACTCTTCAGGAGAAACATGAGGCTTTCTGCTCCCGTAAAGATTTACAGCCTCAGAAATTCTATGCAGGGTCGCTGTGAGTTGCAATTGACTTGGTGGTAGTGGATTTGTTTTTATTCTTTAACCTTCTGTATAACATATAGGAGAATACATCCTAAAATGTTGAGATCGGGGGAGAATCCCTATTAATTAAACAAACAACCTCAAAATACCAAATTCTTCTCTTACTAGGAATGAGAAACAAAATAAATAAATAAGAAACAAAAATAAACAGGCCTCTAAGAAATTAGCTTATATCCTCTCTAGTATTTCAGAACCTCCCTCCTACAGAGACATTTATTATATTTGAAGACAGCTTGTGATGAATATAAAACCTGCTGACAAAGCATACATAAGACGAAGAAAAAGATGTATATATTTTACTTTACATTAACTTTAAACAGATGGAGGAAGGATCTAAAAACTCTGTTAGCTCCGATGCAAAAAATAACAGTTTTAATATTTTACATAAGAATTGCTTTTATGCCATTTAACGGCAAGGAGACTTGAAAAGGCTAAGAATGTTCAGATAAATATTACCATATTCTCAACTTCGGCGCTTTGTCTAACACACCACTGGAACATTCCCATGAGCGTAAGGGCGTAGGACAGGGCGAGGCCAACCTGCCCGGCATCCAAAGCTGAATGAGAAGGAAGAAGGGGAATCAAGTCAATCCCACTCCTAATCCCAAGTCTGACCCCATTTCCCATTTTACCAAGAGAACCCCTTTCTTTCTAATGCTTAAATTATTGGGGTAAATACATGATAGTAGCTGTACTTTTAATATCTGTTGGTTTGAGACCATGATACAAATAAAAAAGGCATTATGAATTCAGAAAGACGAATCAGGCTGTGAATCACAAGGTCAGCAGTTTGAAACTACCAGCGGTTCCGTGGGAGAAAGAAGAGGCGTTCTGCTCCCGTAAAGATTTACAGCCTCGGAAACCCTGTGCGAGGTCGCTATGAGTCAGAACCGACTCCATGGCACTTAACAACAACAACAACAACATTAAATTTATTAAGTTATACATTTATGAATGTATGAATCCCAATGGATTGATATACATTTGAAAAGCAGTATCTTATATGTGGAATCCCTGTGTGTGCATACAGGTAATGTGCTAGGCAGCTAACCAATGGAAAAGGCTGGAGGTTCGAATCTATTCAGAGGGGTCTCAAAAGAAAGGACTTGCAAAACATCAGTCATGGAAGATCCTACTGAGCACAGCTTTACACTAATACTCCTGGGATTTCCGTTAGTCTGAGCTCACTTGACAGCAACTGGTATTCTGTATGTGAAGAACAGTGCTATTACCCAGACATTTGTCATTATGGTTCCAAGGGCCATAAGTCCACTTTCTACATGCAATGCAACCACAAGCTAGAAACCACTAAAAACAAGAAGATGGGTTTTAGTAGCCAATATTCTTGACCTAAGATACTGTTCCCTTGTAAAAAGCAATGTGCTTCAGGGTGGGTACTGAGGAACAAAAAGGAATGGCGAATTTATGCCATGAACACCATCACCTGTTCATCTAGTACCTGTGTGGCAGAGATAGCAACACGCTTTCCTTCTGAAAATGGTTCTCAACCAGCGTGCCAGATACAGGAGTCCTAAAGGTGAAACCCTCCCTGACACAGCATTGAATAATAGACATGACTCTCTCTCCACGACCACCAGACACCACCAGGAAGGTTCAGAATGCTAGCTCGCTACCTATGTCTGTGCCTCCAGCCATTCATCGACAGATAAGGGTAACCCATGACTCCTCAAAAGGGTCAGTCAACCTGACACTCCCGTGCTTTAATGCAATTCATTGGAGTCATTGTTAGAACCAAACAGCCTGCAACATCAGACAAGGTGGCAAGAGTTTTAATAATAACTGTATGCATAGCCATAAATTGTAATCATACCATAAATAGTTACTGACATCTGCACTTACTTTTTGCCAGAATCAGGGACCCAAAGGCAACGACAATGACAAAGATAGCACAGATGGCGTCCAGACGTACGGCGAACCATCGGGACGTCGTCAGAAACAAGAACCAAGCCTCTGGATAGAGGAAACATAATAGGCATAATGAATGAGTAGAATAACCATATTAAGTGCATCGGACGTGGGAGAGCATTTTGCTGAGCTGAGCTTCAGGTTTTTACGCAGAGTAGGGCAGCAATTTAACAGCTGGGGCAGAGCTGCTCACCCAAGGAACTGTGAGATCCCAGAAAGCTAAGTGATACAAGACAATATATGGTACACATTATATGAAACGGTACAGTGGCTTTGTGGGAAACATGTACTGAAATGTTCAACCCAGAGGTTATAAACAGAAACACAGATAAAACTACAGAACATGGAAAATGGCTTCCTGAACGCATTTTTTGCTGTGCTGGATCTCAGGGTGAGGCTCACCTGTCCATGGCTGACTGTCCCCAGTTATCCTATGACAGAAAGCACAGCTTCCTGTGTGTTTCTAGCACCTTCTAGCACTTTCTAGCACCTTACATACTTGCCAAAGGGTCCTGAATGTAGTCATTATTCCTCAGGAGCCAGTCTCAAAATGCTTATCTTGCTATTCAGGGGTAGGAAAGCAGTGGATTGAGAAAGGGAATACAGACGATTTCAAGAGGAGACAAGCTCAAGGGTGTGAAGGGCAGAGGGACATGTGCAGACCAACAAGTCACCTGAGGGCAGAGCTCAAGCCTAAGGAGACGGTCTATCGCTTCTTGTGTGAAATCATTTCCAGAGAGCTACAGACCTGAATGTAGATCTTGGTGCGCATCAAAGAGCTCCTGAAACCTCTCCTCAGCTCTGTACGCCCGAATGGTCCAGAGTCCCTGAAGAGACGATGACAAGTGGGAGAACACGGGACTTCGTGCTGGGGAAACAGACAGACAAAAACCAGAGAGAGCTCAATGAGGCCAGACACAGGCAGACCAGCTTTCTCCCAAGCTGTGTACAGTCACGGCTTACCAAACAGAACACCCAGGCACCTTTCTGAACCTCGGAGCCAACAGGGGAGAAGACACAACAGCCCTTCCAACCTCAAACTCTGGCTCAAACCACCTTTCACTTCAATGACCTGGAAACAAGGCTCTGTTTAAAACTATCTTTGACCAAATTCAAACCCAGCTATAATTATTTTCTTTGCAAATTGCAAATTCAAGGTCCTGTTGATGCACGCTCACCTCACTATCGCTCTGTGATATCCCTCCAGACAGAAATAGTTGTTCACTAATGTTTAAGGATTAGAAGGGAGGATGGTGAGACATAGTCTCTCTCGTACTTTGGACATGTCATCAGGAGGGATTAGTCCCTAGAGGAGGACATCATACTTGGTAAAGTGGAGGGTGAGTGAAAAAATGGAAGACCCCAATGAGATGAACTGGCAGAGTGGTAGCCACATGGAGTCAAATATAGTCATTGTTATAATGACACAGGAGCGGGCAGTGCTGTGTCCAGGGTCACTATGAGTCGGAACTGACTTGAGGGCACCTAACAACAAAGCCAGTAACATTTCTGTAAAAAAATGAATTCTGTGACCACACCATTTACCTGTCAGTTTGTCATATTGTGGTAGCTTGCATGTTGCTATGATTCTAAAAGCTATGCCATCAGTATTTTAAAAATCGGCAGGGTCATCGATGGTAGGCAAGTTTCAGTGGAACTTCCAGAAGAGAGGCTAGGAAGCCAGGCCTGGTTAGCTACTTACTAAAAATAGCCAATGAAAACCTTATGGGTCACAACATACGATGTAGTGCTGGACGATGAGTCCCTAGGTTGTAAGGTCCCTAAAATATACCACGGCCGCATGAATGGACTTGATCATATCAACAGTTGTGAAGATGACACGGAGCTATGTTTTGTTCTGCTGCACATGGATGGACCATGAGTTGGAGCTGACTTTTGGCAGTTAATACCAACAACATTGACACATCTCTCTTTAACAGAATATACAGTTGTGGAGTTTAATAGGAAAGTTAAAAGGTTACAATTTGAGGGCAGAAATGTTTAATTAGGGCACAGTTATTCCAGTCAGCTGCTGGTAAGTGCCCACAGGATATACCACCCTAAGCCTCGGCTTGAAGGCACTTTGCTCTAGGATCCCCTACTTCACTGCCTGGAGGCAGCCCACTCTATAAGCACGCTTCCTGCTCAGTTTTGCTTGCTTTGTGGGCTGAGAAGTGCACTGCTCTGTCTTGAACTTTGGTCCTTGGTTCTGCTGCTGCTGCTGCTGCTGCTCCACTGCTCTGGTGCCACAGCTTTCTGTCCCTGATCCCAAGAGATTCTGTCTGCACGGATCTCAAGGTCTAAAAGACACACTCTTCTTCTTTGATGGTAGTGAAATTCCCTCCCCAATCCCTCTGCTTCTGAGATGGCTCATTTTAAACCCGTACTAGAGCTTCCGGTTTTCACATTCACAATGAACTCTACGAACATCCACAGCTAAATCACATCATCCTATCAGTATCTTCTCCCACCTTCCCTTAGCCAGACCCAGCAAGGCAGAGGCATTGTTTTACAGGAGTTACAAGACTATGGATAGAAGAGATTAGATAATTCACTACACTACACATGGCCTAGCCAAGTTAACACATATTTTGAAGGACACAATTCAATACAAAATAAGACCCAAACCAAAATGTGTTGCACAGAAGAAAATTAGCAGAGACAATCTGTGTTGCCTGAGAGGGCTGTGGGAGGAATGGTTGATTCATGTTTTGCACAATGATTCTCAGTATTATATAATTTTCTTCCATTTTGTGTTCTGATGTAATTACCCTGCACTTTAAAGCCTCACCTCTGTGCTGTTAATGGTATAGAATTACAGGAAGTCCTGGTATGGCAATGTAGGATAAGCACTAGACCTCAAGGTCGGTTTGATCTTCAAGGTTGACGGTTCAAACTCACCAGCTGCTTCTCAGAAACCCTATACAGGGTCGCTATGAGTCAGAACTGACTCGATGGCACTTAACAACAGCAATGTAATAAGAGTACATTGTATCATGAACAGCGGGGTCAGTTCTGATATACAGAACAGGAATGGTGCATCATCCGCCATGAGTGAGGCTGTCAAATTGATTGTCAAGGGCGTATTGTGACCACACGACCTTGTCCTCTGTCTTCAAGATTCTTATCTTAGATGAGTAATAATTTGTGCTTATAAGTAGGGATTATTGATTTTGTTACTTTGTAGCCTGTATACCTCCTTGGGGAAACCTGCTAGTAAACATGGGGCATTTGGGAGAAGTTATGATCATTTAGGAATCCCTGATTGTGGTGCAAAGAGTTAATGTGCTCGGCTTGTAACTAAGGGATTGGAGGTTTGAGTCCACTCAGAGGCGCAAAGAGTTAATGTGCTCGGCTTGTAACTAAGGGATTGGAGGTTTGAGTCCACTCAGAGGCGCAAAGAGTTAATGTGCTCGGCTTGTAACTAAGGGATTGGAGGTTTGAGTCCACTCAGAGGCGCGTCAGGAGAAAAGGCTGGTGATCAATCACCTTCCGAAAATCAGTCAGTAGAAACCCAATGGGCACAGCTTTCCTCTGACACCAACGGAGTCCAGTCAAAATCAACGCAATGACAACTGGCTTTAAGATCACTGACCCTCTCAGAGACAGTAGATATTTTATAAAATGCCAGGGGAACAAGAATCAGAGTAGGAAACGGAAGTATATTCTCAGGGGCTGATTCCTCGTCTGTCTCCAGGTGCCTGCCTGCGTGACAGTTCGGGGCGGTGGGCACACCGCACTTGGGGGGCAGGTGCTGGGGGACAAGCACAGTTGCACAAGAAAGGAGTGGCCTTCCGAGTAGGAGACACTGGGGTTCAGAGAAGGTGAGATGCCACTACAGGGTCTCTCCTTTCCCTTCTCTGGAATTCAGACAAAGAGCCTGAAGTGATTTTGGGGTGGCACAGACTGCGACCTTACTCTGCCATCTCCACCATTCTCTCTCTTCTTCAGCTTGAGCAGCTTTTTGTTGTTGATTTTAGCTCCCTTTCTCTTGTATGTTTAAGAGGGTAATGCAAACGTAAGAGGCCTGAGTGCTTGCTCCAGGACAGGCCTTTCCTGTATACCTGCCCCCAACCTGTGAATAGGGAGTTCCTTGGAAGACCCCGCAGCCCAGGCCCCACAATCCTGTCACGAGGCTGCGGAGAGCCCAGCACCAGTCAGTCTTAAAAACAACTAGGATATCCTCTCCTTTCCAGAACAAGACAGTGTGGAACAGGGAGGCTGTTTCATCCTAACTGATGCTAATGAGAAGAAAGCCGGTGTGGTAGTTTACCCAGGGAGAGTTGATGTTTGAAATTCTTTAGCTTGCTCACCTTATCAGGAGACCAAAGTAGCAGCTGACAGTCTCCAGCAGGGTTTTAGGGAACAGACTGGATGGTAACTAGCCACCACATTGTTTCAGCCTCAACCCCAGGCAACCCCAAGATCAAGTTCCCTACTTTACCTCAGGCTCCAGAGGGACTGAGGTACAGCAGGAATAATGTGGAAACCCAAGTTTCTCTCACACCCCTACTTAGAGTTGGGTGGGATAGGCCAGTATGGGTGAATGTGAGGGTCCTATGAGAAAATCAACTAGTACAGGAGACAAGGGGGTGCTAAGACTCCAGTATGGTGTCCCCCAGTGTAGTCATCTTTATCATACCAGAGACTCAGGTGGCTATCCTAAAGTGTTGTGGTTGTTAGCTGTTGTGCAGTCAGCCTCCAATTTACCATGACCTCACCTCAAAGTTAAGGATGAGATCACTGTGATCCAAGGTGTTTTTTACTGGTTGGTTTATAGAAGGTAGATGGCCAGATCTTTCTTCATAGCCTTTCTTGGTCTGTACGTTCCATAGAAACCTGTTCACCTGACAGATGGTAGTGGTTACACATGGGGTGCACAGGCTGGGAATCAAACTCAGGAAGGGCAGGTACAGGGCAGATCCCGATCTGACATGCAGGTCTTAATACCTTTTTAATTATGATCATGTTTTGTGTTCTCTCATGTTCGGGTTCTAGCACCTTTTGCCAGTGAAAACTTTACAAGTACCAGCTCAAGCAATCTTCAGAGCCACCCCATGGGACAAATGTTTTTATATCTTTATATTCTTGACAGATGGGAAACCCGATTTGAGGGGTACAAGGTTAAGTTAACCAAAGGAAGTGAAAGAGCTGGGTGTCAGACCCAACTCTTATTCCCGAGCCTGTGCTTTTAGCCAGAGTCACAGTGTCATTGAGGGAGGATCATCAGGGGTCAAAGATCCTTACATGTGGCCAAAAGGACTTTTCTCCAGACTTTCCAGCCTACATTGAGAAAACACCAAAATCTCACTCAGCTAGAATCCCAATAGCCTTATCTGTTAATGCACATCTTATTCAACACCTTACTGAAGATGAAACAAAATCCCTAAGAACCTGGCATTAAAAACTCTTTTTAAGATATCAGGCATTAAGATCTATGATCTGAAAATATACAGCACGTGTGTCAACACACCCCAGCCAATGCCACGGCAGACCCTGCTAATTGATCACGGCGCACTCAAGAGACAGAATTTGGATATGGCTTCATAATGTTGTCAACTGAGCAGAATTTCTGGTGAAATGCAACGAAATGCCATCAGTCGTATGCACTTCTAGACTTCAGACCCTTGCTCCACTTACTTTTTTTTTTTTGTTAATGTTTTATTGTGAATGATGTGATAGTTTACATGGGAGAACATTAGCTTTACATTCATCCTATCATATATCGTTTTATTGCCATGGTTACAATCCTCTCCAGGCATCATCAACCAACCAAAGGGTATACCGCACAAGCCTGCCCCCCAGCCATCAGCACACAGCCCTTCTCCCTCTCTGGGTCTAGAGTCCCCAGCTACTCCATCTCTCCACATCATCATCTCTGCCTCCATCTCTGGCATCACTGTATCTCTGGGTAGGGTCCCGCACTCCTCTCTTCTCCTTTGATGATCCCAGGAACCTCTGCTCCCGGACTGCAAAGTCAACCACACCCCTCCTTTTGCTACAAAATGTTTACCTTTACATTTCCAACCCTCACAGTCAGTCCTGATAGCAACCATTCACTATTGTGCCACAAGAGTCCTATCCCCATCTCCTTTCAGCTCCACTTTTGCATAAATGAAAAACTATTGTGGCCAACTGCAGACTTGTATGATTGCTTAAAAGTCAGCCTAAAGAAACCAGACAGGATAATCTGGAAATATACCTAAGAATTTTAGTTGCCCTTCAAAGCACATAGGTGACAAAGATTTCCGTTTCCCTTAAACAATAATTGTCATCACTGTTGTGTACTGTTGAGTCTGTTCCAACCCATAGTGACATAGGGTTTCCAAGGAACGGCTGGTGAGCTTGAACCGCCGATCTTGAGGTTCAAACTGACTTTACAGTCCAGTGCATTAACCCACACCAGGACTCCTAAACAGTAATGTGACCCCCTTTTTGGTGATGTCTTCAGACCCCTGCTAACCATGTCCCTGACAATGCTTACTCAGAGAAAACAGTAGAATTTTTGGACCAGACCCAGATGAGTAACAATAAATATAAGCAATTTGCCATCATACTTGGTTATCTGGGAGCATGGGGGAGGGATTGTTTGTATTTAATTCAAAATTGCAGCCAGCCAGAGTGCAGGAAAACCAAAATATTCAACAAGAGTTGTGCCAAACTTGTCAGTACGCCCAGGACTAAACTTTCTCAAGCTTCGTGGGACGTTCTGGGCTTCAGGATGGTGCTATGTTGAAAACATCCTTTACTGCTTCTAAAGACAGTCATCATCGGCCCTCTTCTCATCCTCTTTCATACGGATGGGAAATCATCCTTGTCTCAGACAAAAAGCCCAGTCAAGGAGCTCCTTCTAGAACAATCTTTTCACTGGATAACCCTGAAACCTCCTTTGTAACAAGACTGTCAGAATAGCTGCATTCCATAAATATCCTCAAATCCTAAAATGCCCGAAAAGCCTTGTTATCTACACAAAAGACAGCCTTGGGCCCAATGACACAAGGGGGCTTCAAAATATTTGTGGAAAATTCCATTAGCTTTTCATTCCATTTTCCCACAAACTTTTTAAAGGCTCCTCGGATACACAATGGGAAGTCTCTTCCGAATCACTTATTCCTGTGCTTTCTCTGAGCCCTATCATTCTAACATGTCTTACCAGTATGGGCTTCCAGGACACTGGTAGGCCTCCCCACTGAAAAACATTCACAAAATGAGCCATCACAGTGCTTGACGTGTTCCACTGGTGACTGAACATGTTTTGTATCAATTTTTATAAAGGCTGTTGCCCATTCTCCCTTAAGCACTTAGATAAAAGCCTTGTTTAAGAGTTCACTGTTACATGAGAAGCACACATAAGCCACCACAACCAAAAAAAAAAAAAACCTCCTTTGTCCTGGGGAATGTTTCTTTTTCTACTTAACAGATATTTACAATTGTGGAACTCATGGTTTCTCATCTTGGCTTGGCTTCCAGAAAACTAAGAGGGTGTTCATTCATTTGCAGGAACTTTATCTATATAGTTTGATGTTTTCCGATGCTAATTCCTTCTTTTACTATTTTTGTTATCATCCTATGCCTTTATTAAACAATTCTACTCCCCTCAAGATTTTTCAGTTTCAGTAAGAATGAAATATTAGCCCATGCATTTAGAACGAGATGAGCTCAAATTATTTCATCCTCTGTGATTATCTATAGAATAGAGTGATCAATCATAAAATGTTTTCCCCTATTGTTCTAAAACTGGGAAGCTGAAGACTAACTGCATTATAAACTGACCCCTTAGCCAAAGTTCTCCCAAAAGCATTGAATTCCAGGGGCAGCTTATTGGAACAGGCTAAAAAAAGGAAACAAACAAACATCGTGGCATTACACCAAATTACACCAAAAACTGAAAACCACAATGTTATCTTTTCACTTAACGACAACTTCAACTTACATTTCTCCTCAGTATGTGAAAGTACAGTTTTCAAATGTATTACTTCTGATACAGTATTATAATTTTTGACACCTTCTTTCTTTTTCCTATTCCTTTCCTTTCTATATGTAATGTCATGAGGGAAAGGAAAATTCCAATTTCCTTCTATATGAGTCCCCATATGAGCAAATCTTTTATTTCTTTGAAAACTATTTTCCGTGAGCTTTCTCTATGTAAAGACGTATGTCGTGAAGAGGACAGAAATGACTGTCTTCATGGTGCTCACATTCCCATGGAACATAGTTGTTAAATATTAGCGTAGTGAGAAATTTTAGAAGATGGAATCTCCCAGAACTTCATGGCTCTCCGTAGAAATGGAAGCTAACATTGCCAAGCCAGCCTGAGATCCTTTATGGTTTACTGAATTCTTTAAATATGAGACTTGTAGCCTTAGTCTTTGTAACTCCCACCAAACACCTCTTTTCATGATGGGTCTGGGTAAGAGACGGTGGGGGAAGATGCTGGTTAGATAGCATGATTCAGCTGTGAGTACCTGTTAATAGGACTGTGAGATTGTGAAAATGTGAAAAACAGAGGAATTGATCACTACTATCAGCTGTTCCATGGGAGAAAGATGAGGCTTTCTGCTCCCGTAAAGATTTACAGCCTCGGAAACCCTGTACAGGGTCGCTATGAGTTGGAACCGACTCCACAGCACATAACAACAACATCAAGGAAGAAGAGTCAGAAGTGGAGCATGTTCTTTGGACCCTGAGATTCCTGTATTGAACTTCCTTGATCTAAGAGACAAAGCTGTCACACCGGAGGAGGGACAGAGGAGCAGCAGCAGCAGAACCAAGAGCCAGAGCAGTGGACAGACTTCCTGGGCCACAGAGCAAGTAAAACTGAGCGCCTCTGGACAGGAGGTTCACTTGTGGAGCACAGTGCCTCTAGGCACTTCCTTGAGGGAGCTAGGTTTGCTGACCCACAGAGATGGAGCTATGTCTTTGGGGCTGTGGCTTAGAGCAGAGAGTCCTTTGGGCATTTATTGTTGTTGCTAAGTGCTGTCGAGTCGGTTCCGACCTATAACGACCCCGAACAGGGTTTTCGAGGCTGTAAATCTTTACGGGAGCAGAAAGCCTCATCTTTCTCCCGTGGAACAGCTGGTAGTTTCGAACTGATGACCTTGCGGTTCGCAGCCCAATTCGAAACCACTACGCTACCAGAGCTCCATTTATTAGCAGCCCTAAAAGAGCTTTGCAACACTGCCTGAGCAGAGCAGAGGGCAGGCTAAGGGGCTAAAGACCAGAGAAAAGCTCACCTGCTGGTTTGTCTGATGAAAGGTTGTCACGACTGGAAGAACTGTATCTTCAGCATTTCTGACTCCGATTTTGTAACCTGCTAACTAACTTTTCTAGTAACACCCATAACTGATGAGTTCTCTGTGTCCATTAAGATCAATTCATTGAACCTAGCTGAGCGTAGTGTTGTGAGAGGGATGGACCAAAGCTCATTTTTTACATCCTTAATACTCACTTGTAGACTCCAGGCGTTTGACATCTCTTGATGTTTCTAAGAAATACCGCCGAAGAACAAAGAAAATGATGCCAAGCGGAACCAAGGGTACTGCAACCCAAGGGATCACGGCTACTGCCACAGCCACCACACCAACCACTTGGAGAAATGTCTGAAAAACAAATACACACAGGTTTCCTTATCAAGAGTTTAGAATGAAAGCTCCTTTTCTCAAAAAATCTGTTGAAATAAGAGGGAATGCTTTTTCATCCCAAATTCAACAAAATAGTGGAAGGCTCTGAAGATAATGATATTTACTATCTGCTTATTAGCCCTGGTAACACCACAGGTTAAGTGTTAGACTGCTAACCACAGTGTTGGCGGTTCAAACCCACCAGTTGCTCCTTGTGAGAAAGATGAGGCTGTTTGCTCCCGTAAAGGCGGACAGCCTCAGAAACCCTATGTAGGCTTACTATATATAAGTCTGAATCTACTGGGTGGCAGTAGCTTGGTTTTCATTAGCGCCCGAGACTACGATAGTCTCTCTTTTGATATAGTCAGTAGTCCTAGGATGTGGGTACTTTTATTTGTCCTGTTTTACACACAAGAAAACTGAGGCTTAAATGAGGTTAGAAAACCTGGTTTCCAAACTATCACGAGTTTGCAGATTTATTAAGAAATAATAAATAGGAAGCAAATATTATAGATGAGGAAATTCAGGAGCCCTGGTGTGGATACAGATGTGGTTAATTGCAAATTCACCTGTGCTAAGGAATGGAGGAACAAACATTAAATCTTTATCTTTGGAAAGGGGGATTCCTTTTTCCTGGGTTTCTATCTAAAGAGCTGACTGTGTTCCTGGTCATGCCCTAAGTATCCCGTGTACATCACTTAATTTAATCCTCAGCTGAGTGGCACAAATGGCTAAGCACTTTACCGCTAGCCAAAAGGTTGGTGTTTCAAATGTACCCCGAGGTGCCTTGAAAGGTGACAGCATGAAAACACTATACAGCAGTTCTACTCTGACACACACACACATTGGGACAATGGCAGCTACCAATAACAACCCTAGGAAGTGGCAGTACTATCGTCCCACCTCACATATGAGAGCAGCAAGGCACAGGGAGAGGAAAAGTATCCTTGTCCAAAGTTACATAGCATGAGTCATGAAGCTGAGGAACCCACACTATCAGCCTCTATAATATGCACTTCTGCTTGTCCCCAGCACACAAGGAACCTATTAATTTGTCTTTCATGTTCCCCCACTTAAACACCCTGCTACCAGGGAATTCCATAGTTAACCAACCTGCCCCAAAACAAACAAAAGGACAAGAGAAACATGGTAACTTTTGGATACTTCTTAGAAACCCGAGGAAGAGTTTTGATAGTGAGAAAACAACTTGCATTGCCTAAAAGTTTTTAATTTCATCTTCTAGCTAGACATGAAAATTCCCATCATTAGGATAAGAATTTAAAGTGCTCCAGTTAGCAGGAGAATGACAATAACAAGAGGAGATTATCAGGCATTTACTGCATGCAAAGCACTGTGCTAACAGTTCTACCAGCCGCACTTAATCCCCATTTCACTCTGCAAGGCAAGTATTACCCTAATTTTACAAATGAAGAAAAGGAGTATCAGAGGAATTAAATATCTAGGCCAAAGGCTTAGAAGCAAAGGGCCATGGGGGCTACAACTTGAATCCAGCACTGTCTATGTCCAAGACCTGTGCTCACATATGACATATGTGTTCGGTAGGTTTTTAACAGAAGTTTAGTGGTAGCTTTCACAATTCTGAATGCTACCAAAACTGAAAATGAATTTGGACATAATAAGACAGTAGCAGGGGACAGGAATCCAGCCAGTGGATGATGTTGATTTAAGTATTCATCTTTATCAAGAAAACCATATCAGGGTTTAGAATTTCTGGTGACAGGAATGCAACTTAACACTTTGTATCGACCTACTAGGAAAAGAGAGAGCTAGGAGAACAGGTGAAATCCTGGTGTGACGCTGGGAATTAATGTGCTAGACTGCATAGTCAGTTTGAACTACCAGGTCAGTGGTTCAAGCTCACCAGCTGCTCCTTGGGAAACCTATACAGGGTCACTATTGAGTCAGAAACAACAAAGACAACACGTAAATATGGCACAGTCTGAAACCTCTGAGATTTATCATCAAAGCCAGATAGAAAAACATGACTCCAAGCACAGGGCACAGGTTACTATGAAAAACTGTATGTTGTTGTTGTTTAGTGCCGTCGAGTCAGTTCCGACCCATAGCGTCCTTGTATAGAGTTTCCAAGGAGCCGCTGGTGAGCTTGAACCACAGACCTTGCAGTTCAAACGGCTTTGCAGTCTGGTGCATTAACCCATAGTGCCACACCAGGACTCCATGAAAACTGTATAGCGGATTCTAAATGACACTATAGAATCAGCACTGGACTGGTCAAACCCATCAGCTGCTCTTGGAAATCCTATACAGGGTTGCTATGATTTGGGACTTAACAATAAGAAAGGCCTTATGAAGAACTAGTTGTTTGGTGACAGACTCTAGCCTTTCATGTGTGAGAAAGTGTTTGGTTTCCAGGCAACGTGCTTTAAGTGCAATCACCACCCATCTGTGAGAGGAGGTTTGTGTGTCTCCATGATGTTGAACAGGTTCCACAGAGTTTCCAGATGAAAACAAACCAGGAAGATAGGGCCTGGGGAGCTACATAACCATCTGATCTGTAACCAACCACGGGGCAGCACACGTGGGGCAGCATTTCAATCCCTAGCCATGGACTCCTCACGAGTCAGGACTGACTCAAAGGCCCTTAACCAGAAGAAGAGACTTATGACGGAATTTGACAGACTGGGTTATTGTTGTTATTAAGTGCTATCTAGTTGGTTCCCACTCACAGTGAGCCCCCACAGAGGGTTTCCGAGGAGCAGCTGGAGAGTCTGAACTGATGGTTTAATGTTGTTGTTGTTAAGTGCCATCAAATCAGTTCCAACTCATAGAGACCCTGTATAGAGACTCAGCTGCTGATCTTGTGGTTCAAACCGACTTCGCAGTCCCACGCATTAACCCACTAAAAACAGTGGCATGAATAATAATTGCACATAGTCATCACAGCCAACAGCAAGCTTGACCACAGGGGACCTGGCCAGCAAAGGTGAAGTTGGCTGCCTGGGCTAACACCAGCTGTTCTGAGCACTGACAACACCTGCCCCGGCATCCTCTGCTTCCCGATGACTGCACCAAGCATGGCTCCGAGGCAAAGATTACCCGAGCAATACCTTACAGAGACATCCACTATCATTTCACATTTCCTCAAATCAGTCTCCTCAGAGGATCTTCATCACCACATCGTGAGGGAAAAGACAAAGAACTGCCATTTCCATTTACAGATAAGGAAGGGACGCTCCGGAGGTTAAGTGGCTGTCCTAAGTTCTCCAGGAAGGGTACTCTGCTGTGGACAAAGTCAGAGCAGTTCAGACTTGGGGGACCCAAGAGTCCCTGAGGTACACAGGTCAAATGCAGTGAGGTGCTCAATCCCAAGGAGCGTAGAGGAGGACAACCTTCCTTGACTTTAATTTCATGGGGAGGAACCCTATGAACCAAGTTATAATCACGTGATCTTTTTTTTTTTTAATTTTATTTTATTAACATGATGCATTTTTTTTTTTTTAGGTTAGAAGTTGTTTTAGTGCTTTTTGTGTGGATAAAGTAAAACACGAGTGAACTTCAAAATGTTAGTGGAAAAATGGAATTAAAAGAAAATGGAATTTTCCATGAACTGTTTGTGTGTATATGTGTATATATATATTTATATATATATATGAACATGAGGTCCCTGTGTATTGAAAATGGTTAATTGCTACACTAGTCCCCAAAAGGTTGGTGGTTCGAATCTATCTAGACATGTCTTAGAAGAC